GCTAAAAGTCTTGTACATTCCTACTAGATAACCAGAAAAGGGGTTGCTTCAATTTTCTAGAAATACATGTGTGGCATCGTATTTACAACAAATTCCCTAGCTGAGAAAAGTCCGAAAATGCAGAGATGATAAAGACACAAACCTTCGGAAGTTGCATTTCAGCCATTTCTTTCTGTAGTTGAGGATCGTTTGCCGTCATTCTGAAAGATTCATTAAAGCTTTCTTGAAAGAGTGTCAAATATCTATACATTTGATCAATAGTTGCAACGTTCACTGCGCGCTCACAGATCCCTGCCTGCGATTTAGCATAATCCCGCATAAACGCTTGCTCAAACAACGCGTTGCACAATGTGTTCAGTGGAGACCTTGAATAATTGCTGTTGTTACTCGCACACACCCACGTAAAGATGGATTAGCCCTCGTGATTATTTGAGCCAAAGGGAATAATACAACGATACAGAACCAATTACTAGAGTTAAGAAAAGAAATTGCATCTGAGTTAGTTCTTTCTCTGAAGTTGTACATTACGAAAGCTCGTTATCGCTCATTAGCGATCAATAAAAAATTTGAGCATCAGCATGAGGAGCCACAACTGCAGAGAGCGACCACACTTTTTGTTATTTCCTACCCCACCGTTAAAAAGAACAAAGATTTTTATAAACACATGACGAGTGTTTTGTCTCATCATAATCTGTCAGGAACGAGAGATATCCGCTTTCATGTTTTTGGTGGGACACACACAGGACTGCTTCTGAAGCCATGGAAGTTTTGAAGGGCACAATTCAATGATCGTGCATAAATGGCAGTGGCAAAAGGCAGGACTGACCATAAGACTGACGAGAAACTAGCAAGGAGCCCCCAATATCAAAACTTAGAGATCGAAAATGAATATATAACATACTTTGGAATAATGAGCATGATCACGAGTGGCACCACCAGCATCAGCACCATAGGATTCATCAACATGTCAGTAATTCGCCATTCCTCTCGCTTGCGGAAATATCGTGTAGCCTCTCGAGAGCTCAATTTTAGCGGATATGGCAACTGATTAACCACATTTGGCTGAAAATAAATTGCATAAAATTCGCCCATTCCAACACTTCATCTTGTACTCGCAAGAAGCAAAGAAAAAATACCTGCAGTAAAGTCAATTTT